ATTTGGAGTGCTTACCCTCAAGAAAACCAGGATCCAACCTTTTATTTGCCATGAAAAGCAAGACAAACGACGACGAAGGCGAAAGGCGGCTAGGGCTAAAAGCCCTAGCAAGGAGGGAAAAACCCTAGCAGACCACTCATGAGAAAAAACATTTTGTAACTCCCGAAAAACATGCAACAACACTCTTAAATGATATAATTAAATTTATTGAAATATATTGAACACACTAAACTTCCATTTGATTGAGAAATACTAAACTGTTAGCATGCATAAGTGAAAAATCTAATCCAATATTTATATTAAACTATGATTACTATTTAAATTCAACTTAATCATCTCATAAAATAGGAACATAAAAAATTGAATAAAAAATTAATAACAAAAATGGAATGCAAACTAAATTGAATAAAAAAATAATAACAAAAATGGAATGCAAACTAAACATACAATAACACGCTTAAATGAGATAATTAAATCTCTGAAAATATATTGAACACACTAAACTTCAAACAAAGATTGTTGAGATGTAATTAAAAATATATCAATTTGTTTAAAAATAGCATATGTACCTTTAACGTAGATCAGAATTGAAATTTTCATGAATATGTAGGATTACTATTTTCTGCAAAAATATAATATGTTATTTTATAGGATTCAATGTATAATTTGAATACAACGATTGAATGATATAAAACATTAATATATAAGATATGAGCAATTAATTAATTGAAGCAACGTACCAGATCGAGCTGCCTCAAAGATAATTGTGATAGAATTTCATTTCTCATAATGATGATTAGAATAAAAAACAAACAAGAATTATACTTATATTATTATAAATATACAAGTTAGTAAATTGTATTCAAATGTGTTTGAATTTTGATTGAGATAAAATTATTGGAATCAAGATAATTTTAATTTTTTTAATAATAATGTATATAAAAACAAATAGGTGATCTATATTAAACACTACGGGAAAACACTCGAATACCGTCGGATTTTCCGGCAGAATTTTTTGCGCCGGTACGAACTGCGCAGGTAACGGCGGAATGTTCCTGATTCTTGCGACGGAAAAATTACGACGCATTTGCCGGAGGAGGAGGAGGAGGAGGAGGAGGAGGTCGAGGAAAAGTAGAAAAGGGAAAAGACAAAAAAATCACATACAGTTTGGGAGATCGGGCTCGAGGTAGTTGTCGGCTTGGGCAGAGGGGAAGGATATCATTCTAAGCTTGGCTGACATGAATGGGAGACTAGAATCGGTCTGGCAAGCTAGGGTCAGGAGCAGCTTTAGAAGTTAGATGTGCTTTAGGTCAAATGAGAAGGAAGAAGGAGGAGACTTTGGCTTGTCCATCTATGTGGGTTCGAATAGGGAGGTGAAAGAGGGAGAGCTACGATTTTGTGGTGGTTGTGCGAACCAAGATGCGAGAGCGTGAGAGGGGAAGGGAGATCGAATGCCAAGCTCAAAGAGAGAGTGGGATATATCTTTGTGTGTTTTGCAAGACGCCATCCACTATCTTAGTACTCGATCTTCTACTGCAACTGCCCTTATCCCTCTCTTAATTGAGGATATCACATGCGTATCAATGGCTGAGAGAGGGGATTTTAGGGAAATCTTAGCCATTGGATGCAAACTTTATTTGGAGAGGAATGTAAAATGCTTAGAAAGTCAATTGGACATATATTTAAAATAGTTAAGTATATTTAGGTTATATTCGAGTCCACATACTCAATTTGACTCAATTCTAGCTAATTTTATGAAATTAACCCCAAATCATTGTTGATTCAACTCAACTTAGGCTCTAAAAGGGCTTATTAACTTGATCTAACATGCTCGACAAAAAAGTCCTTAAAAAATGAGGTCAATAATTACTTAATTTGGTTAGTTAATTAAGAATTTAAATCATATTTAATTGCTTACAGATTATCGTACAATATGAGTAACCTAAGGAATCTTTGGACTAAGTTTTGTTCATCTAGTACGATCATAAGATTGTACTGTTTGAAACAACCGAGGGCTCTCTCGATGACTTTTGGTTTATCCAGTACGATATGATATTTAGTTATACTAATCATATTATACTTATGTTCATTCAAACAACATGATAAGTTAACAAACTTTAACTAATCATCCTATAGACTATTCATCATAAAATACTATAGAGGATATTTGAACTAATAGTATTGTACGATCCATAGATCATATTGTACAACCAGTGATAGCTAATTTAAAAATTAAAGTTTTATTGGAGCCTACTTTTTAAACATCTTTTATTTTATTTAAGAAAGTATTTGGAGGTGCATGAGTCTTCTGTAATCAAGGGTTTGAAGAGAGGGTTTGGAGCAAGGAGGGAGAGAGAGGTGAAGTTGTGAGAGGGAGAATAGCCTTGTGGGATCAAAAAAATGTGTGAGAGAAAGTCTACATATAGTTGCTCTAGCCAACATCAATCTTCTTCTTCCATGAGTCATTGCTTTTCTTGAGGTAAACTCAGTGAAAAACCTCTTCAAAGGGCCACCGACTACTTTGTTGCATTAAGAAAGGTGAAAGTGATTCTTATGAGGGCTTCTCCGCCTTGTTATGGGGGCAAAGTAGAGTCCCTATAGAGTTTTAGTGCAATACATGAGAGGTGGACTCTAGGGAGTGGAAGGAGGTGAAGTTAACGGAACCACTATAAAATTTTTGATATGCTCGTTTCTTTTATTTACAGCATCTTAATTTCTATATTTTACTTTCTTGCAAATTTTTATCGAGTATGGATCTTCTTGTGATTCAAAAACCTTGTGATTATTTTAGTTCTAGCTTTTGTTAGAAAAGAAAAAGAAATAAAAATCTAAAAAAATGAAAAATATATATTTCTTTCTATAAAATCAAAAATGAAAAGAAAATAGTTGTTTATTTTTTTCTTCCGCATTATAAATCTGAGTTTAAATGTTAAGATTTTGAATTTGGTTTAAATTTTTCAAAAAGAGAATCTTTGAAAAAGAAATTTTTAAAATATCAATTCACTCCTCTCTTGTGTTCCATTGTAGCTCAAGTGGTTCAATAGTCATAAATAGAACTTTCTTATTTATGTAAAATAATCAAAAGACGTCATGTCATAAAATTCAATTCAAGATGAGTTACCCGATCTCCAAAAGTTACTAAGCTCCCAAAAACTATTTACACTTTATCCATGAAAGTCACACTTCATTAGTGAAACATATATTTATCTGAATTTGTGTTGGTTGATTATGAATAACACTATGATGCAACAACCAATAACCTAATGGTGGGAGTCTATTCCTTAATTTAGATTCATTTTTAAGGCAAAATGTGAATTATCAAAATCAACCAAGATGATTAGCTATAATTAACAAAAAAAGTCTATAAAATCAAAGTCATTACCACCATTCAATTAAAAGGTACAATAGACATAAATGGATAATGCGTGAGAAGAAAGAATTAGAAAAAATATACATAAATAACATTGGCTAGGACTTCATGGGCCCATCATCCCTAGTATATAAAACTTAAAATCACTTAGTTAAGAAAGCATGATATTGTTTTGAGATATTCAATAATCTATTACCCTCAGATTAATTGGTTGATTAAGGCATTAAATAAAAATCACGTATAACAAAAAATAAAATCACTTCAAAATTAAATTTATAGCCCTAGTTGGAAGAACGTGATAGTATTAAAGAGTTTCAATCTCAACACTACCCCGGGTTCTGGATTCCGGGTTATAGGGTTATAGGATTTTAGGGTTATATATAGAGACTTATATACCATAATACCATAAGTAAAGATTATGAAAAATTAATCTATTCTATAATCTTCCAAGTAGAAGACTTGATATTGGTTCTTAAAAGACTTATTTTGACTCACTGTAAGGTGGGAGACAAGTTTAAGCCTATATGAGATGACCCATTTGTAATTGAAAAAATATCTATCAATATGGGCCGTATCTATTTTTTTATAATACAAGTGAACATCTTATGTTTTCTATTAAAAGATACTATTCTTAAATGCGTTCTATAAAATAATATTCAAAAGAAAAATTTAATAAAATGATTTTGTATTGCACTTGTATTAATATCAGAATTGGTCATCATAATTGGATTTTAAAATTCAAACTCAAAATGAAACTTCAATTAAAAACTTTATTTTCCTATGAGTTGTTAATATATTAAAATTAAGTTATTACTTATCAAAGATGATCAATCTACTCTTTTACTTACCCTGATAGATGGAATTTGCAGAAACCTATGATCTTTAATGAAAAAATTTCAAGTAGTTTAGGTCATTTATAAAGGAGTGGAAAGTTTTCTATATTTCCTAACAACTTTTCAAAATTTTAAATCTCCGAAAATTTCTATTAGCATTTGAAATTTCAAAATCTTCTCATTTCTCAGTAAGGATTCCTGCATCTTCCCATCACATAGTTTTTCCTAGTACTAGGTAGTCCTACGCCCATTCTTTTGACCCTAGCCTTGGTATGCACAAAACCTTCATAAGCTTTCCTAAGCTTCTGTCAATATTTTTAAATTAAATTAAATTTCCAATATCTTTACTTAAAATGAAAATTAAATTCAAATTTAAATCTTTTCAAGTTCAAATTAATATTATTCAATCTCTTTTCAAATGTATTTAACTTGAATTGCATCCTTTTTATTTGATATTATTGGTTTTTGCGATCAATACTAAAATGTGCAATGCATGTTTGTGAAATTGTGAGTCTACTACATAATATTTCTACGTAAAAATCACATATGTTACATCATTTAAATATAAGAAAAAACTGTGTCAGTGGAGAAAGAGAGTAAGAGAAATAGAAAAATTAAATTTGGCAAAGAAATAAAGTAGTAGAAATACATATATTCTAAAATACGCATAAGCAAGTTGTTGAGGTTATATACAACAATTAACCATTAGACATTACAAGAAATAAATGTTCATCACTGCGATCTCATAGGGCTCACAGAGTACAATAACTTCTCCTTCACCATTCCTTCTTCCTCTTCTAAGGTCGGAACGGAGCAAAAACCACCACAGAATTATGGCCTCCAAAGCCGAATGAATTCGATATTGCTTCAAAATATTGCCAATGGTTAATATATTTTATAAACTAAACTTAATCATAGTTTAAATTGCTAAATAAATTCTCACATATTAATTATCTAACTTAAATTTGCTTCGTGATAAATATAAAATTATCGTTATTACGGAAAATAGTATTATTATGAATTTCTTCAATTCGAATATATATAATAATTTTATCTTAACTAACATGTTAATAATTAAAATTATAATTAATTAATTAAATTGATAAGAAAATGGAAATCAAGAAAGTACTTTTCTAAGAAGCTATTTAAATTACCTTTATGTGAAATGCTTGAATTTCTTTACAGATGAATATATAATATAAATAATCAATCAAATAAATATGATTTTAAATTCTAATCAAACAAATTTTGGAACAATAATTACGTCCTCTGACCGGGCGTAGAGCTACGTTCGGCCGCCAATAACATGTCGCCACGTGCTCTTACTCTTTACCGCGAAGCCCGACGACTTGACCCGGACCGGAACCTGGGAATGCTATGTTCGCGTATTGCGAGGTATTACTCGGTATTTGCTCGGTATTGCTTGGAAATAACGAGAAATACCATTCTGTGAAGACCAATACCGATCAATACCGAATTTTTTTTATAAAAACTTGATATTTCTCGGTATTACTCAGTATTTGCTCGGTATTGCTTGTTATTTGCTCAGTATTAGTTATTGCCGAGCAAAATCGATCAATACCTTGCAATACCTAGCAAAATCGAGAAATAATGAGCCATCCTGGGTCAGTTCCGGGTCGGGTTGTCGGGGAGCGTGATAAATAGTGAGAATGCGTGGCGCGATTCTACTGGCGGCCGAATGTAGAGCTACGTCTTGTGACCGGACCAAATAAAAGTTCCAAATTTTGATACATAATAATGTGGTTAAAATTGTGCTTTATAGATAATTAATAAAACAAAAAAGAATTTTGGCTTATACTTACCAACATTAATCTCATGATACTTCTTCACATTAGGCACCGTGTCAATCGTAACCTCTGGCTCCAAGTTCTATGAAGGAAAATTAAAATAAAATGATTAATCAACAAATAAGCCATTATAACTAAAGTATATAAGTTAGATAATTAATATGTTTGATGAAATATAATACATATTGGTTGATCGTTGGATGCAGCCAGCCCGTAGTAATAGCTTTGATCGTAGCAATGGCTTCCAGTCCCCCAGCTGCCCCAAGGCAATGCCCAATCATTGACTAATAGAGGAAAAAAATGTTATGACTTTCCTAATAATAAAGATAAATTATTATGACTTTGCATTATTAATATTGAGCTTATGTGAAAATATTGATTTAATATTGAATAATTTCTAGAACTATAAAAATGTTGAGCTCATGATTTTTTTTTTTTAAATAAACTTTTTTATAGAATAAAAACCCAGCAAAATACAGGAAACAACCATAATTCCAAAAAAAAACAACAAAATCAAAGATAACATAGCGGGCTCAGTATTCAGTCGAGGCCAACGCCCAAACCGTTACGCACGGACCACCCAGCAAGCGAATCACCCACGGTTGCCACCAGCATAGCCCTTAGCCTCACGAAGCAGCAAGCAAAAATACGACTCATCTTTTGCGACGAGCTCTTCCCCAGAATTTTCCCCTAAAGGCTTTAGAGGAACGATCAAGGGAAAAATCCATATCCGACTCAAACGATTCAGAATAATCTTCCTCCTCAGACGAATCACTTAACCAATTCTTTTGATCCCTAATCTCCTTGCCCGAATCCTTACTCACACAATCATCCATTTCTTTTGAATCCACCTGTTTCACAGGAATCTCCACAAAACAATTTAAAGACTTAACACCACCAGCATCACTCCCACCCTGCTCCACAGTAACAGAAACAAAACCATCGGCATCACCACCCTCCTTCTCAAGCAACATAACATTATCATTGGGTTTCACCGCATCCTGAACAGGCAAAACAACAGAATTTTCAACATTCACAGCCCCATGACCTACCTCCGACACCAGCAAAACCGAAGAATCCACAAGAATTTCCTGACGAACATTCCCATCCAACACCTCAGGAACAAAAGGTAATGCATAAGGAGAGAAAACAAATTCATCCATAGCAACAATAGCACCTTTACCATTAATCACGCCCACTGCTTCAACCAAAGTATCAGACGGAATTTCAACTACATTTATATTACGTTTTCTGACAATTATTTAATTGATTACATGTCAATGCCTTAATATTTTATTGTAAATTTAATAAATAATATTTTAATTTGTTTTTATATTGTACGCAAAGATTGTAAATTAATTTTGAGTAAAAGTTTATGCACGTAACATCATTTATTAATTTTAAACTTAAAAATGAAAGGGTGTAAAATAAAAACTTAAGTAAAATATTATTGTATTATGGTAAAGGAGGTTGGAACAACTATAAAATATTATCGAGCGACGGTCCATGGTTGGTTAGCGACAGAGAACACAAGGATTATAATCAAGTAACGAATGTCAAAATAATTGTAGTTGGTGGGCGACAAAGGTCAGAAATATCATAGTCGAGTGATGGTGGTTGCAAGGACCATAGTCGGCAAACAACATAGGTTAGAAAGATCCTAATCAAGTGATGGAGGTCGAAAGGAACGTAGTTAGTGAGCGATGATGGTCACAAAACTAGTAGCAGGGTGATAGTGGTCGGAATTACCGTAGTCATGTGATAGAGGTCCGAAAGATATTAGTCGACAGGTGATGGAAGCCGCAAAGATCATAGTTAGAAGACATTGGTTGGAAGGACCATATCTTGCAAGTGACAAAATTTGAAAGGATCGTAATCGGGTGAAGCTTATTGGAAGGACAGTAGTCGGTTGGCGACGGGGGTCGAAAAGATCGTAGTCGGGTGATGGTGGTTAAAAGTGTCATATGTTTGTAGCGAAGGTAGGTAAGTTCGTAGTTGACTGGTGATGAAGGCTAAAGAGCCTATTTTCGGTGTGCAATGGAGGCCATAAAAATTATAATCGGGCGACGATGGTCGAGAAGCAATTTGACGACAATCAGTGAAAGTTTAATGGAGGATGTTAAGCCTCATTAAACAGTTCCTCTGCACACCAAGAGGGGGATGGCACTAAAGGAAAATGCATAAAATAAATTTTTATAGCGGTTCGATCAATTAATGGCCTGCGTCCACTTCTCAGTCATCCACTCTAGATATTGCATTAACTCTAAGTAACCCTCCTTTAGTTGTTAGAAATCTGGACCCAAGTCTTGTGATTTTGATGATAAAAAATATTATTGGATTCCCTTCTGTGTTATCTCCTGTTAATTGCTATTATTGCATGTTTGTTTTTCATGTGCACTAACATTTTAGTGTTACAACTTAGTTTTTATAACTATATTTTTTTATCATGTATGTTTTTGATGATTATAAATTCTTATTGTGTTGATTACTATTTATCCAAATATATATTTGAAATATTATTTGTGTTATATATGCGTACTAATATTTTAGGAAAATAATACTCCAGACTGAAGACTTCAAGATAGATTAGATTAGGGTTTATTATAATTGAAGTCTATACTTTTTATATTTTTCTTGAGTTTGAGAGAGTGTGATTGTAATTGGGTAACTATGCACACATACATAAGGGGAGTACGAAACTTGTATTTTTAAAATTAATCGTATTGTACAATCATGGATCGTACGGTACGATTTGTCTTGAGTGTTTCTCCAGAATGGAGTTGATCAAATCATGCAAGGAAAAAATTTCTAACTCCTATTCGTACTATTTGAAGTTACATTCATGCAGACGACATCCATAGTATGAAATGGCTACAAACCAGTTCGTCTCGAATGAACTAAAAATTTTATAAACTAGTCATGCTGTATGATCATAGGTTCATACATATGATGTTTAAAGTATGAAATGGGTGCGTACCAGTTCTTTCATACAAATAGGTAAATATTTTGAAATGTTCGTACTATACAAAGTTGGGCTCGTACAAACTTCATCTAAAACTCTAAGATATCTTTTGGAAACTTAAAACTTAAGAATTTGGTATCCTAAGCATAGCTCTTCTTTTGAAATTTTTGGATATTCTGATTTAGATTTTATAATATGTAGGGTTGATAAAAAAAAGTACATCTGAAACTTATAAATTTATAGGAAACTCTTTAATTTCTTGGTCCAGTAGAAAACAAAATTCAGTAGCCCTATCTACTGCTGAAGCAGAATACATTGCCTTAGGTAGTTGTGTGGCTTAAGTTCTTTGATTAAAATAATAATTAATTGACTTAAGATTTTCTATTGACTCAATTTCAAATTTTTTATAATAATACTAGTGATATATGCATTTCAAAGAATCATATTCTACATTCTAAAATCAATCTTATATATATAAGACATCACTTCATTATAGATCATGTAACTAAGAGAAAAATTAAATTGCATCACGTTGCTATTGAAAATTCACTTGCAAATATTTTCACAAAACCAATGGATTTTGACACATTTAGCACTTTAAGGACCAGATTAAAAGTGATTGATCTTAATTCTTAAGTTGAAATTCTAAAAACTTGATTTGTTATATAATTGTATATTTGTTTTTTTCCTTAGATTGATTGTAAGAGTTTGTTGTTTGTTTTTTTTATTTTTGTTGGTTTTTTTTTTCTTAATTTTTTTCTCTTTTGTTAGTTTTGTGCTTGCTTTGCTTTTGATTTTACTAGAAGCATGTCATTTTGTTTGATAAGGTTTTTATTTATCATTTCTTATTTTTTAATTGTTCTTTTTGTATTGTACAAAATTTTTTCATACAATATAAATTCTATAGCATGTACATGATATATTTATGAGTTGATCATACAAAACTTAGTTTTTCATAGGATTTTGTACTGTATGATGATGTCATCATACTGTATGTTATGTGTTGTTTCATCTATACGAGTGGGAATGATTTTCCAATTAATGTTTGTTATTGATCACATATCGTACATACAAAATTGCATTTCGTCTGTATGATCCTATTGTCAGTTCCTTGTGGGGGTGAACCTAACCATCATAAAATAATCTTTAATATTCTGATCATCTTGGCCAAGCACGTGTTCGTCTATACAATCGTTTGGTCAAAAAGTATGTACGAAAGGACGCCTCAAAAATGACATTTTATAAAAAGTCATTTCATTTTTGGTTGTATCTATTTGTATGTACAACAATTATTTCATCCGAAATGATTTTAAAATCGTACACACAATCCAAATTTTATACTATAAAATAGGTCATTTTTCTTCAAATAGAAAGGTCTTCGGATAAGTTTTTCTTCACTTTCTCATCCATTCCAAACTTTCTAAAGTTCAAATCTTAGGAATCGTAAGTAGTAGCAAACAACCTCACATCTCTAAGGGATCATCCTCTAGATCTTGTAGGGATGACAATTTTCTATCCAAAAAGAATGAGGATGCTTTTTATAGATATTTTGCTACAAAAATTACCTCTTCCTGACTCCTCATTCAGAATGATATCAATTTCTCTTTCATGATCCTATTCACCTTAACCAGATTTTCATTTATCCTGACTCTCATCTAGGCCTTTCATAAAGAATCCTTTCAAATTTTTTTGGCTAACATGAAGGAAACTAAGACCAGACTAGGATTACCTCTTATGCTTTTAAGCAACGAGTAGAAATCACTAAGAAAGACTTAGGCAACTTCCTTTACCTAAGAACCCAAGAAATTAGTGTGCACACCTTAACCAGTAGAACCTACTTGGACTAGTCAAAAATAAATCAAAATCATAGAGGTGTTGCCCAAGTGAGTCATTTGTCTCGTGTTTACATTCTCAATCAAAATGCCTAGATTATCCAACACATTTTGAGAACCTCTATTATTCCAAAAAGTTGGAGATCGAATAAACTTAACTCCTCTTTTGTCCATAGTCACTTATTTAATAATGACAGAAAAACCTTTTCATGAAGTCCAACTTACCATGGATTATATTTACAAACTTTTCGATATCAGACTTTCTTATAATAAGAAAAATAAAAATTGGGCTTTAAGACATCTTGTTGTTTATATCTTAGAAAAAAAGTACAACCTCATACATCTTAATCCTCCCACTTAACTCCCTATTTACTTTACTAATGCCTCTTTTAAGGCACTCTTTATAAGTGATCGAAGCTTTGAGGGAGATAATGTTAAGAGAGTTGCTACTTAGCTTTTGCATGTTTTATATTCTTGCAACTTGTTATTT